GCAAAGAGTTAATCAAAGATTCTTATTCCGTGTTGAAAAACAAATGTCACTTCAGGACCCTCACCTTGTAGCAGTCTCTTTGAGACTAGAATCCAAGCTCCACATGGCTATATAGGTGTGCTGTATACACAGTCCTCCTACTACACTGAGAAAGAGATTTTCCCCATTTCAGAGACGGAGGCTCGGGTAGATTAAGGACATGCCTGGAGTCACACAAATAATGAAGGGGGAGAGGCAGAATGTGGGCTGAAGGTCCCGAGCCAAGCCTGGGGCTTGTTCCCCTACATCATGCTATCTTGGGTCACAGCCTCTGTTAACTATGGATTAGCAAGGGCAGTCTCTTTTTACGGCTCCCAGGACAAAGGACCATGCCACGTGACTCTGGCAGCCTCTCTGCAGTGTGCGGTCCACAACCCGGCCCTTTGCATAATCAACAGTGTGACTCTGACAGAAGATGAACCCTCAACCCAGACAGCATGGTGCTGGGGTTTTCTATTTCCCACCGCAGCCGGACACAACTGCCATCCTCCCATCAGTACCAGGGTCCCCCACAGGTTGCTTTGGGTCCAGAATGAACAGGCTTGGTTCTCTTCAGTGCAAAGGGTCTCTAGCGCATAGTCCACAAGATTCTGTCATGAAGGGAACATCAAACACTGATGTATCAATTAGGTAAGCAGCCAGGAGAAAGATCCAGGACAAAGACAGGTTTCTCTCTCCTTATGTTCCTAGAGATTCTCACCTCAGGACTGCCAAGCTGGATGTGTGTGGTTCAATATGGCAGACACCATGGTTTGCCTTGCTTTCAGAACTCCTGGCTGGTATTACCCACATGACTTCTCTCCTCTATAGATCAGATCCCGGGAAGGATGGTCACGTTCAATCCACATCCAAAGAACACTCTCAAAATAACTCAATGCTCATGATGTGTTTCTTGCTTTAAAAATAGGAAAACTCTAGCTGCATCTGGGACAGACCCATATGATAGTGACTGTTTACAGCTTTGGAATACAATAGCCATGCTTTCCAAATGGCCTCTATGCTCTGGTCCCTTCGCCCTGGTCTACCTGACCCAGACAAGGGTGTTCAAGTGGCCCATTATATTATCTGTCTAACAAATAGGGACCAAAAGGCCTCCATTTCCCAACTAGAAACAGCAGCAGTCTGATATCATTCTCGTTGGGTCCATGGCCCGGCAGAGGAGCTCTTATGGACACTTGTTTTAATGTCAGGAATGACAGCGTACCAAACTGAGAACACAGGACACTCATAGCCGTGTTTGAATCACTGATATTAATTTTTTTCATTATAATTATGTACCAAACCATTTATTTGTTGTATTTTACCCTACAAGTTTACTATGACCACTCCCTATTAATAATTATTGCTAAATGAACAAAGATTGAGTCTAGGAAGAGAAAATATGACCATTCCCCGCCTTCCCCTGTTAGCATTAGACTCTCTCAAGCTTTGGCTGGAGGGCAGGGTAAGAGAGGAATGAAAAGATTTGGATTTGTGGATCTCTTGTGAGTTCCTCAAACACAGCTGCCATGTCGACACACAGTGGTTTATGGAGACCGATACGATGATCACCACACAAAGTAGAAGCACCTAGAATAAGGAGAGCGGAGCTCCCAGGTTAGCAGGCAGTAGGTCAGGGATCTAGGCTGCCATACTAGTAAACATCTGTGTGGCCTCCTCTGAGTCATTTATTGTCCCTGGGCCTGAGTTTCCTCATCTGTAAAATGCAAAGCCCTCTGCTCTGACTCTGAGAACTGGGACAGCATCAGTCCACCTGAGGTGTCAGGTGTGGGGACACTCTGCCTCATTGCACAGATTCCTCCCTCTTCCGGAGGCCGGGGGGACTCTTGGGCAAATGCCTGTCTGTGAAGGAGGAGGCTGCAGCGACCCACAGTCAGGAGGGGAACTCTGAGGCAAATGGTTTTCTTTGGACCAGTCTTTTCTTTAAGCCCCTCGTAGGATGCTTCTTGTAGGTCAGAATCACTTCATTTTCAGCTTCATTATAGGACTCTTTTTATTCAGTTTTCTAAAATTTGTAATATATTTGGTCATAGATGAAATAAAAAAGATTTTTTTAAATTAGAAGGCTGTCGATGATTCAGAATATGAAGTAACACTACTGATTTTAAAATAATGTTAGGCTTTTCTTTTAGGATCGCCTATAGAATCCCTCTACATTTAAAGAAAATGTTTACTCACTAGTGATAAAGCTTTGGAATTTGAGAATGGTGTGATATTTGGAACCAGAATCAAACCCAAGGAATGAAGTGCTCCAAGTGGGCTGTACTGCTTCTAATCTGACAGAGATCATCTTAATAAAGAAGTCACTGGTACCTACGTGGCTTCTAAAACACACTGGAAATAGCTCCTTCTAAAAACGCTTACAGGTTCTAGAAACATTTGAGCAGGGTGTTGGTGTAATTCTCCAGGACAGAAATGATGATCTATTCTGTTTCTGTTGGTCTTTGCTTCTCCCACCTGGACTAGCAGTTCACTGAGGACAAAGCAAGTCTTTGCCATTTCAGCCATAGTGTGCATCACATGATGCCAAGCCCAGCATTTGCTCAGTGCCAGCCGGCTGACTGATTGGATGTGTCTGTAGGGAATGGTCCTTCACCAGCTCTCAGAAACTCCCGACGGTGCCTGTGCCGATGAACCACACCCTCCTCCCTGTATGCCCTCCCTTGGGCTGCCATATTGGTTTCACCAGAGGGTGGGAAGTGCAACATTCCATGCTAGTTGTACCAACCCTGGGAAAATCCCACAGGCATGGGGTTATCTCACACCACGGATCATTGTTACGGTTTCTCCCACTCTCTCCCTCTCCAAATCTGGACCCCACTTGGTCTTTTTTTTCTCAGTGCTCAGCTGATTATATGTCTGGCTTCAATATCAATTATTCTACTTCCTCTCTCCTCAGCCCCCCTCCCTCCCTCCCTCCGCCAAATCCTCGTGTGTGCTCAGCTCTTCCCTGTTCCCATAGCCTCTCCTGAACTGAGAGGAGACGGGACAAGCCCCGGCAGCTGCCCTGTCATGAGTCATGTCTGCAGGGTTGCCAGCAAAGGAGTGAAGAGGGATGGGCCTTAGGGCGCGGGGAAGGAAAAGGATTTTCAGTGGTTGTCAGAAAATGGGCACAGGGAGGTGTGGGGGCTGTCTGGGAGCACTAAAAGGCAAACGAGACAACTCAGGATTAATTATCTAGAAGAAAATGTCAGAAAGGCACAGGCCATAGGAGGTATTTTAGAAACACCTCCTCCCACATTTCCATGGTTACGCTCTCCATTTGATAACACAGTTAATGTAGCATGAGAGCAACATGTGAACGAGGCAGAAGAACTGGTACCATCAGTCTCATTTCACGGAGGAGAAAACTGATGACCAGAATGGTTTATCTAGAGTCATAGGAGAGAGGAGAAACAGCTCAGAAACCTCTAAGCTCCAGCCTGGTAACTCGGAACATGTGCATTGTTAGCATGACCATGACCATGTCAGCATTATTAGCTTGGATCAGTAGGTCCAGTTATCAGCCGTTTGGGTTTTTTTAGCTAATCCCTTTACTCTGCATTACTAAGGTGTTTTCTGAATCTATGTGGACATCATCTTTTGTATTAAAGCCATCTCACATCTATAAGTGCTCTGCAAACTTATTTGGTTTGATCAACTAAATTTAGGTTGTACTGAGGGTGACAATGGATATAAATGCTCCCCCTCACAAAGAAGGAATCAGAAATGAATTTGTAGCAGACTGAGTTCTTTCTTTTCTTTAGTCTCCAGAGTGTAACAAGTATGGAAGATACATCCTCCACAGTCAGCCCCAACAAAACTGATGGAGAAGGGAAATCAAGCCACAGTGAAAGAACATTGAATTCACAACCCCCCCCCACACTCTTCTTTACACAGGACTCCAGGATCTTCAGCAACTTGGAGTGACATCTGTGATCATTTGTTCAAAATAAAATGCTGCTGATCCTGGGACCCCAAGAAGACCCAGCCTCAGCTTTGCATCTTTTATCCCTGAGCCTCACATAAGAATTTCCAAGAACAACGCAGGTTAATGTTGGAATTAGCAAAAGTAAACAGAACTCATGGAATTTGAGGAGTCTGGGAACCCCTGAGTGCCATGCAGCCCAGTGGCCCCGGTTCTAGAATAGGATGAAACACGTGCTGATTCATATTTATCCAGAGCGCCCGCCACAATGCTTCATAGAAAGCTCAGCTCCATGGGTCTCTGTTCAGGAAATGGGCAGGTGGGTGGAGGGCGTCGAGAAAGACGGAGCCAGAACCCGGATTGAAGGATCTAGAATTATCTCTACCCACATTAATTTTTTTAAAAAAAAAAAACCTTACAAATTGTATCTCCTTTCTATACGTATTAGTTCATCCAATCTTGACAATAACCCAAGAAGACTTTGTTACAGTCACTTTACTTGTGAGGAACTTGAGGCCCAGAAGTTGAAACCCAAAGACACATGCTCAGTGAGTGGCAGGGCTTGAATTTGAACTCATATTTCTCTGATTAGTAAACTCAAGCAAAGCTCTTCTCCAAGCCAAGGCAGCCTTTACAGACGCTGCTGCAATGGACAAGATCTCCTGGTCTCAGAGGTACCTTCTGGGTCCTTTTTTGACCAACAGTACACACGAAGAGAGAGACTACTTCAGGACTTCCCTAAAAACCTGTCCACAAAGGACCTCCAGAATTCAGACTTCTCATATCCCCTTGGTCAAAATTAGAAAAATTGGGAAACAGACTTGTAAACTGCTTGAGAGACCCAGAAATCCCCAATCAGCATGGAAGGAGACTGCACAGAGTTCCCTGGGAGGCGATGGCCAAGCAAACAGCCCTCATTGGACCTGAAGTCCTCACTTACTGGCTGAAGTCTGCATTTCTCTTTTTGAGCAACCAGCGAAAGCTTTCTGCATCGGGAATCCCAGACCACGTCCGCAGACGTTCTAGGTCTTTCTGAACGGAAGCAGTTCCTTACCGGATAGCCCCAGGAGCCATTCCCTGCCTGGAACTTGGAGAAGTAGCTGCTTCTGCTCGTGGTCCCGTAGTTGTTGTAATTGTCGGCCAGCCCATCATACATGGAACCTGGAGGGAAGAGCAGGGAGGTTAGGGCAGGGATGACCATCATCTTCACCCATCCCTGCGCCCGCTGTATCATCCGCATCCAGGTCCACCACCTCCATGGAGGGAAGCAGTCCGAGTTCCTGGGGAAGGGTGCCATCTACCAGCCATGCCCATCCTCACATCCTCCATAGCCAGGGGCCAGCAAAGAGCCACCAGACTGCCACAAGGACAGCTCTTGAGACCCCTTGGAAGAAATTGACACCTACAGGTCAGGAGCTGGCCTGGAGCGCCTTGGAGAACAGCAGTTCCAACACAGGGAATCATGAGTCCATGCTCTACAAAGATGCATGGGGAAGGAAGGCAGGATCTCGACATTCCAGGTCCAGAGGTTCAAGGTCAGAGCCACGCAGCAGTGCACACCTGCTTAGAGTCCGCTTCTGCCCGGACTGCGAATGCCAGCCTGAGCCCAGCCCCCACGGGTGATCAGGTAACCTGCCCCTTCCTTCTCTGAGGTCCTCCCGCTGGTAAAGGGGGAGCAATAATCAACCTCAAAGGCCCAGTGAGGATTAATTAATGCCTTCACAGTGCTTCGAGACCCACAAATGACAGGCTATGCGGGAGGACACGGTGTCATTAGGGTTATTAGCGGCAAAGTGGCTTTGAATCACAAAAAGCAGGCTGGATTTGAGGTTCGTGGCAGGGACCCACCTTCCTTCTTCCCTTCACAGAACGGCAGGGAGTCGGGAGGCCTACCATACAGCCCCAACGTTGAGCAAGTTGGTCTGTTGGAGGTCCCAATGTCAGGAAACATGGCTCTCAGTGACATATTCTCCCCTCCCCGCCTCCCCTGCGCGCGCTGAATCCGTGTTCTCTCCCGGGCTATAGCCATCACTGTCCATCCATCTTTCAAAGCGAGGCTGGAGACTTCATCTCCTTCAGGAACCCCTTACTAACCAGCCCCCCGCTCAAAAGCAGTCTCTCTAGTGTCTGCTATACCCTGCTCTTGTACCCCAAGTCATGTGCTACCCGGTGTCCGTATTTCCTCGGCTACATTGAGAACTCTGTGAAAGATAAGCCATGGTTCTCTGGCCTGCACGTCCATAGCAAGTCTTCCTTACTCTCATCAAAAGTATCCTCTAAGGGATGCGCACGCCTTTCCTCTAAAGTGATGCTTGGAATCCCCCATCAGAAATCCTGTCTGAGGAGGAGGGGGGCTGGACCTTGATCTCCCTTGAATCCATTAGCCCTTACACTTCTGCCACACCCACCGGCTCTAGGTCATTTCCTAGGAACCAAATTGTCTGAATTGGGAACAAGAACAAGATCGGCACTTCAGAACCAGGCCGGCATCCTGCTTAGGGCCATCTCCTCTGTCCAGCGCCAGACCCACGACAAAGGGCATTTCCCTTGATTCCCATTCCTGATCTTGGAGGATGGGCGGGACTTCGGGATATTAGCTGTGACAGTCGTAGTTTTCTCCAGAAGCCTAACGGTTGGAATTGGTCCTGGCCTGGCCCACAAGCTCTCCCTGGGCCTCCTCAGCTTCTTTTTCTGTAAAAAGCAGTTTCTCTCAGGCTGGAGAGATGGCTCAGAGGTTAAGAGCACTGGCTGCTCTTCCAGAGGTCCTGAGTTCAATTGCCAGCAACTACATGGTGACTCACAACCATCTATAATAAGATCTGGTGCCCTCTTCTTGTGTACTGGCAGAATACTAAATAAATAAATGAATAAAATAAAATAAAATAAAAGCAGTTTCTCTGCATCCTAAACGGTCCATACACTCCCAGAGTGCTGTGGCTATAGTGGCATGTGCCTGATGGCATCCCGGGAAGCTTCTCTAAGATAAGGTTCAGCTTTCAAGGAAGAGGGGCAGACAACTGAGACTGACCCCACCCCCTCTGCCTCCTGCCTCGGGGTCGTTCCAGGGGCCTGTTCCATCCATAGAGCCCCAGAATCCCACCCCATAGGGCCCAGGTGCAGGCCTTCCCCTAAAAACAAAGTCCTAGGATTCTGCCTGGTCCACAGAGCCTCTGACAGGTACAGTAAGTTTGCTCCTGACCCTGTCTGTCCAAACTGCAGCTGCTCCTCTGGACAGACTGTGTTTTCATAAGGAACAGGAAGAATCCTGTGGCCTCGGTCACCAGAGAAGGGGCCACAGCCAGGCACAGACACCATCAGGACTCCAAGGAGCTGTCCTCCAGGTCTCACCCGCCTTGATCCAGCCCATGTCCGTCATCTCTTCCAAAGCTTGGCAGGCCAGTGTCTGCTTGGCTCACATCTCTTGAGCAGGCATTTCTTTGCAAAGGGCAGGTATGGGTCAGCCAGCTACTTCCAGATGGAAACTCTGGGGTGGTGACAGATACTTCAACAAAGCCCCAGGGAGGCCTCCTACTTTAAGAATCATCTCCTGGAGGCTCCCACTCAGGCCTCCACCCCCGTGAGAGGGAATCTACCATCATGACCTGACACCCACAGGTCATATAAGGCATCTCCCCTTTCCATGCCCTTCACCAGCCTGGCTGCTTTTCTCTCTCTCTCTGTCTCTCTCTCTCTCTGTCTCTGTCTGTCTCTCTCTCTCTCTGTCTCTCTCTCTCTCTGTCTCTCTCTCTCTCTGTCTCTCTCTGTCTCTCTCTTGTTTTTCGAGACAGATCTTCTCTGTGTAGTTTTGGTGTCTGTCCTGGATCTCCTTCTGTAGACCAGGCTGGCCTCGAACTCACAGAGATCTGCCTGGCTCTGCCTCCCGAGTGCTGGGATTAAAGGCGAGTGCCACCGCAGTCCGCTGGCTGCTCTCCTACACATTCTCCAGGTGAAGAAGGAACTGTGCCATGGAGGCAGACATGGACAGACACATGGACATATGAACAGATGGAAGCAGGGGATGAGATACTCTGTAATTCCCAGAGCTAGTCCCCATGTCTCACGGTGACTCAGGTGAAAACAGCTCTGAGCTGTAATTCTCACTGGGTCGGTTCCTTCCAGGCAACTTCTGAAGGCATCCTCCAAAACGTATCTGCAATTAGGGAGCTGCTTGGCTCCCTGGGAGAGTGAGGCGGCCATTACGCCAGCCAGCACAGCTTTTCTGGCAGAAGGCAGATGCATAGCTGTAGGGATGGCGAAGGTGGAGAGGAATCTAGAGAGGTGACACATTCCGAATCACGTCTAGCCGTAGTCAGGGAGAGAAGGTGAGCTGTTCTCACACAGAAACCACTTCCTCTCTCCTGACCCCAGGGTGTCTGGATGGTTAGCCAGGTCCTCTAAAAACTAAGTGCAACAGCAAGCACATGGAGCGTCTCAATAAGTGTAACCCTGAGAGCTCACTCTGCACCTGGTCTCTCCACTTCTACAAAACTTACTCCTAGGAAGCCTAATGGGCTTGAGCTGGACATTTTGGTACCACTTTTCTTTCCTGTCCAGTCCTGTGGGGAAAGTACTCTGGTCTGTAGGGGCTCAACACCTCCATTTAATGCCAAATAGAGTCTTAGAATTCTATCAGCCAGGGCCTCCTCTACCCCAACGGTTCTTGGAGGGTAGTGTTAATTGGAATAAGAGAGGGGGATGTATGGAGCTACAGAGGCTCAAGTCCACCTCCTTGAGAAGGATTCTTTATCCTGGGGGTGAGGGTAAAGGGAGAGGATCCGAACATCCAGCTCACCCCTCAGAATCCTATTGCCCTTCCTGATGAGTTTCTGTCTTCCCACTGGTCCCTACGGAGGTGCATTTGCCATGAGCAAAAATGATGGTGACTTCTCAGTGAAGCTGGCAGCCATCTCAACCTGGGCATCACCATCGGGACACACATCTGCCTCCACACAGAACCCCAACACCTTAGAACATCGATGAATTTCCCTGTTCCACAGTCAGTGTGAGCGGCTTGCCTCAGCCTGTGCCAATGTAGAATTTCACTGTGTGAAACCATGTCAGTCTGCTGTACTGAGGAGGACAGTAGACTGTGTCCGTCTTTTCTTCTGTGCCTTAGATGAGACTGGCTGGCATTCCTGTGTCGTGTGGGCAACCCAAGCTTCCTCAGCTACAAAATCTTTGAAAGGCCGGTTCACATAGGAGGGGCAAATCATTCTTTTCGACTTCCACGCTTTCAAACAGGTTACACACACTGCGCTCGAAGCATTCTTGAGCAACGCCCTCTCTGCAATCAATACCCTGTTCGAAACTCAGCTATCAGCGATCTCACGCATCTTTTGGTACTCCAGACCGTCATCACAATTGCGTTAGCCCTGGGTCCAATGGCTACCCTTACTCTAGCTGTGCCGGCTGGTGCGCTTCTTGGAGTGTGAGTGTGTGTGTGTGTGTGTGTGTGTGTGTGTGTGTGTGTGTGTGT